TTCAAATTTATTACTGTTTTAAATATTAAACAAAAAAACATTATTATTACCTCAGTGGGCCTAGACTAGAGTAATACCCTTTTATAGGTTTGCCTGGTCCAACGGATCGCATAGGCGCATAGCCTACTGGCCTAAGCCCAGCTACACAGCCAGGCTACCCGGATAGTAAGGCCTCAATGCATTTACAGCGCAATTTGTAGGCCCCACAGGCGACTGGTGTTTGGCTGCAGGGTTTGAACTTCTAATTCAGTTTTATTTTTATTTATCTAAGCCATATAATGCATTTCCAAAAATGTTTAGAAAGGCCTGGCAAATTATTTTAATTATGTAGTTTAGAAGTTAACGCACGAAATTGATAAAATACCTACTTTTTATGAGCAAAAAAATATAGTGATGCAGAAACACCTCAAGCGCAGGAAACAAACACAAAACGTTTTTATAATGTTTGCCAACGTTTTGGTTAGGTATGTCACAAAATAACGTTCACACAACGTTGTAAGAACGTTCGAACGTTGTGACGTTGTGAAATTAGGAGTAAACATAAGTACATACAATTGGTTCCACAAAATAAAGTTCTAAAATGGCGCATTAGAATTTTCTTCAGGCAATCGTCAGGGAAACCTGTTGATACTGCGTTCTGATTGGTCAAATGTTTACCTACCCGACCATGCTCACTTTGTTTTTTGTCGGGGACTCCCCCCCCCCACCAAAAAAAAAACAACAATTATATCTAGCCCTTCACCCCTCCCCAGATTTCAGATGCTGTCGCCCCTATTGTCAACGTGTTTCCTTTGTAAAAGTGAGAAAGTAGTCACTGTTTCCCATCGGCCATATTTAAATAAATCTGTTAAGATTTTCAACACTGGATGCAAGTTACTTGATTCCCTCTATTGTTATTAAAATCTTTTCTGTTTCCTGCTTAAACATTAGGAAATTATGCTTACGCTCCATTTGCTTGGAATCTTTACAATTTCGATTAATTTGTTAAAATTTACATAAATTGAGCTGACAAGTCATGCTAGCAATAATTGTATAATGTTAGCCAATACATACTGTACCTATATGTTGGTCCCAAACAAGTGTTTTCTTCAAATATATTTTTGTCCATATTATTGAATTAATAACTCCGGACCAACGGACCTTCGGACCAAAGGCCCTTCGGACCAAAGGACCTTCGGACAAATGCTCTGACCCCACTGTGGTGTATGCAATCATTTGTTTTACCTGACTAACCTGTTAAAACATATTAAAGCTACCAATTGATATTGTTCCTATTGAAACCCGTTGGCAAATTCTCCGATTTCAAAGCTTTTCGGGTAGCACTGGAGATTTATCAGAAAGAACGACACAGAATATTTGCAAGAAGTAAGGGTGTAGCCCACATGAATGATTTAAAGGCAAATTCCAGAGAAATTAAGGTACGCGTACATCAAATACGCCTGTAAGCATGGCAGTTCCTAAGTGTCGAAAAAAATCAAAACTTATTTATAGAGCTCTTTGCAGAGGAAAGTAAGTCCCTTTAAAAATGGCTAGACAACAGAACTTCAGTTGTTATATAAACACTCTTCTAGGCCACCACGTAGTGGTTTTAGATATTCGTCATAGAACTCAGATCTTGTTTTTGCAAGAGGTGAGGCTATTTAGCTGATAGTTATGTTGACCATCGTTGATCTGCCGCGAAATTGCTCTGAAATAATTTTTCTAAACCTCATCCAGAGCATGTTCTGGATACAAGCACATATTCACTGTCTGCTTCGTTAATAACACCCTCCAAAACTTTAGGTACCGTAGCGTGTGTCAGGATAATTGATAATGTGATATTTTGATATGTCAATTTTTTATTTTGAAATGTTGCAATGTGTGTAAAAAGGAACCTGCACATACGCCTAAGTTGTTGGAGATGCCCGTTCAGATTATGCAAAGGTGAAGTTTTGAAGTTTTTTTTCAGTTTTTGACAAAAAAATCGAGTTTTCCCAGAATTTATTTTTTCTTTTTAATCTCCTTTTTATATAAAATATCAAACTTACTTTTTTGACTTGAAATACAAACTACTTGTATTCCGCACAAAAAAACATAGTTTGTCTTTATTCAAAACTTGCGCTTTTGTACCCCGTATCCATGTGAATTATCATACTTGTTCTTTATTAACGGTAAAAAAAAAAAAAAAAAACCTAACAAACAAAAAGAAAGAAAGAAAACAACACAAAATAAAAAACAGGACGCAAACTTTTTTCTTGAGCCCATGCTGGGAGTGTGTGTCAATGTGTGGCCTTTGGACAACTAGGTTAAAAAAAGATACTTTTTTTCTTTTTATTGATAAAAATACCCAAGTTGTTTGCTCTTTGGGGGAAGTTTTTGTTTGCTAAAACTAAGTTTTTGAATAGAAAATTGAGGTTTTTGCGCATTAAGCACAACAATTCGTAATTTTTTATCGTAAAATGCCAATTTGTTTCATTATGCGTTGATAGGTTTTTACATTATGCGTTAGAAAATGTTTTAAAATTATGCGTCATAAGTTTTTACATTATGCGTTAGCAACATTTTTTACATTATGCGTTGTTTTTTACATTAAGCGTCAAACCTTTTTATATTATACGTTAACCAATATTTTTTTTTTTACATTATGCGTCATTTTTACATTAACAGTTGTTACAGGCTGTAACGGCAACGCCAAGACACTGTTCGCGTACTACACCAAGATCGTAGGCGACTACGACGACGCAGCAGCACACGTACGTAGGCCTACGGAGGGGATTTAGTCGACAATGATTTTATGTTCCCTTGTTTTGTATTTGAAAAAGGAAATGTGAAAAAAAAAACTTTAGTCAAATGCAAAAAAAAAGTTTCCAGAAAACACTGAGTGATGTTTCGCTGTTGGCTAGGATCTGGCCTACAGACTAGGCCTAGCCTAGCCTAGGTGTCAAAAGAGTCGGGAACCGGGAGAAGAGGGGCGTCAGGCCTGCTCAGGCAATTTGCCAAATGCAGCGATGATATTTATATATAGCAAGACTTGCTCCATGATATCATGGGCGCAGATGGCCTAGCTAGCGGCACCAGATAATGTGTATCTCCTACCCGAAATCTAACCTGACAACCTAAGAGGCACCTTTTTTCACTATCCCCTGATTTACCTAATTTTATGTTGTGACTATTCATTCCTCATTTATTGTATGTATATAGATAGACCTTCATAAAGCATTTAATTACTCACGTGTTTTAGTTATTAATTCATTATTGAACGAACAATGCTTGATCCCATGCGATGAAAATTGCAACCCCACCACCTCCAACAAAAAAAATTACAAACAGTTTGCCAAACAATCCGGTTATATGATTGGTCAATATTAGGGTAGTCGCTACTACTCCAAATTCAGAAATTGTGGTTGTTGCGGAAGCTATCACAACGCCGATTTAGCCAGTAAGGATTGTGAGCATGTGCAGATGTCTGTTACGCTCTATTAGTTTGTAGTAGACTGGCCGCGTAGTCAAAACGAAAAATGCCTAATAAAGCACGCCCTCCAGGGAATTGAAGACAGAATCGTATCAAGAATTAATAAAGATTGTACCCTAGTACCTCCTTTCATATTACTTGCAGCGTCATGGGGCTGTACCGAACGTACAAAAGTAAAGTATTGATCAAGGCGCTGTGTACTAGTATACATAATATAACATAAAATCTTAAGAATAAAGATATTGCCTACACAGATGACGTGGAAAACAAACAGCCATCACATCGAAAATCACTAATTAAACTTAAAAGCAAATAAAGAAAAACAGTGTATACTTTAATTAAAAGAAAAAAAATGAAGTGAAGAAAATGATGGGAAAAACAAAGAAAAGTAGAAGGCCAAAGACATACCGGTAGTCAGAAGAAAACATGTAGCGTCCACTGCAATAAACAAATTAAAGAGAAGAAAAAAAAAATCAGACTAAAATCCTACACCTCACTAGTCAAGCAAATACTTCTCTGCAACTAGACACTTGTAACGATGGCCTTGATCTTTTTCGTATATTTCTATAGATTTTTAAGAGTTTTAATGTTTGGTACATCAAATTGTATTTTACATCTGAATAATAGAATGTTGCTCGGAGTAGTAGGAGCAGTATAATTAGTATTAGTGGCTTCAAAAATATACTTTAAAAAAAAATACAAGAGCGACCGCTCACCTCCTCCATGCTTAAATACGGTACAAGTGCAAGTTATTATATTCGTTTTTTGGAAGAGCTAATAACACGCTCAAACACGGTACTGGCGCAAGTTATTATACTGGGTTTTTTTGGAATAGCTAATAAGATAGAAATTTTTGAACAATTAGATTGTTTATTTGTACAAATTTAAAATATCTTAAAATTGTTTTAAAAAAATGAATTAAATTTGTTTAAATTGGAAAAAAAAAATAGTTGTAATACCTAGACATGATTCGAACTCACAACCTTAGGGTCATTAAACACATCCTTAACCGACCGCGCCGTCCAAGCAAGTGCCGTGTTAGTGGTAATGTCCGTAAAGTACAGTCCCTGCTAAAACCCCTGTTTTGTTGTTTAGGTGTAGGGAGAGCCCTGGCTTTTCAATATTTGGAAACATATAAGTAATGCGATAGATGTGTATAAGAGACAGATTACTATCTATTTATATCTACTAACTACTAAGAATAATAACTCATACAATGGGCTTTTGCCAAGATGGTACCTGTCAACTTCAAATTAACATAAAATAGATTGATAAGTGAGTAGTATGAAAATGTAACCACAAATTATATACATGTCCGGTGTACTGGCACCATAGGTAGACACCACAAATATAATTCAATTAATGTCAAAATTACAGTCAAATAAATACTTTTCACCGTATTTTGCTAATTTCGTGGTGGAATAATCATTTTCATTTTGCATTATTATTTTTGTTCAAGTAACAAATTACCCATGCTACCATTTGATGAACCAGCACCTTGTGCAATACAGAACTGAGAAATTTAAAATTTGTTTTTTTGCTATTTTAGGATGGAAACACCCCACTACATTTTTGTATGTTTAATGAAAATGTACCGTTCAAGGACCGCTATGACACAGCTAAAGTCCTAATTCAAAATGGAGCAAATGCTGCACTAAAGAATAAGGTGAGATTTATTATTGTTAAAAAAGTAATAGGAATAACCAGACGTTATTTTTCTGTTGACTATTTTTGTCTTACTTTTAGGTCTTATCTCCCCCAATCATAATTTCTATTTCTTACTTAGTAGATGAGGATAAGTAATCAAAACTAGTTACTTCTTTTAAATCAACCCCGGTGTAAATGACTTTCATACTAAAGCCATTAAGAACATATTGCTAATCCCATTTTTCTTCTATTATGCAATTAATATTTTCCTATCTGAGGCTGTGTCCCAGACAGAATGAAGTTAAAAATACATACACTGATATGCAGTTAACGTAATCTACAAAAATATAATCCATTAAGGTTGGGGTTTAAAGCTCTTGGCCGGGATGAATGGCCTTCAAGGTAAGTTACGTCACTGTGGTGCGGCAGGTGTTTGAATTACTGCTGGCCTACGCACGTGAGGCTAGTTTCTTATTCACTAAAAAGCTTCGTCACATACACGATAATTATAAAAATACAGTGAGTCTTGTGGGTCTTCTAAATTTTGAAGGGTTTATAACATAGATCAATATCTAGCCAAAGCAAAAGTTCACGTTTAAAGCATCGTCCCAAGCGCGGATCCACAGTTTACCCTGAATATCGCCTAGATGGGTTGCCATTGTCATGAGAAGAGAGCTAGCTTGTTCTGTCGCTGGAAGACCTATAGTGTAATATGCCCATAAAATATCAGTTCAGTCATTAATTATTTATGTGTCTGTGGGAAATATAACAAATGAATAATTCAAAATAAAAAGAAAACAAATAAACTAAAAATATATAAAAAAAAACCACTTACACTAAATCACAATGGAATCGCAGTTTTAGTGTTGCAAGGTTTTACAGTTCAAGATCTCAATGAATTTAACAATTTTGTTGACAAAATACTTACTTGTGCTACGAAGAATCAGAAGACACTTTATTTGATGGGTGACTTTAACATGAATTTACTAAACGAAGATGTTCATTCACAAACTAATGATTTCATCAATGTTATTACCTCCCATTCCTTATATCCAAGTATCACTAGGCCAACAAGAATTACAACCTTATCAGCAACATTAATCGACAACATTTTTACTAATTCTAAAGCTTGCCAGACATCTGGTATTGTCATGACTTAACATACCGATATTTATTACTGCAGATCTGAATATAGTTAGGACATAACCATATGTTTAAGAGCAGTAAGGAAATAGAGGTTCGTTATTTAACAGACCATACCATTGACCGCTTCAGGTTTGAAATAACGAGTGTAGATTGGAATACTGTATGTAGCCCTAACAATGTCAACGAATCATATCCTATCTTAGCGTAAAACTGCACAAAAAAATTACCGAAGTCACCTTGGATATCATTTGCTATTTTAAAAAATATAAGAAGAAAAAATAAAAATAATAAAAAATCTCTTACGAAGTCTTACCACTGCTAATATTATGAGCTATTAAAAATATAGAAACGTACACTTAATACTATACTACGTTTAGCTAAACAAAACTATTTTTATGAATTATTTGAGAAAGGAAAAAACAATATGAAAAATACATGGAAAATATTAAATTCAATTATGCGCTCTAAAACTAAAACATTTTCTGAAAAATTTGTGTCAGGAAGTGGAATTTGTACATGTCCTATGCAAATTGCAACTGAACTTAACTATTGTGCTAGTATAGGACCATCATTGGCATCTTCAATTAACCACATTGGTAATAGCTTTTCTTCGTATTTGCAAAACATTAATAGCATGTCTTGATTTTGTCAATGATATAAGTAATGCGATTGATATTTTTTTAGAGGTGTACCTTACAAATGGATTTCCAATTACCCCTCCAATAGAAAGCAATTTGCTTATTATAACTCTGTAAAGTCTGCTATTATTAATGTTAGTTGCGGTGTCCCACAAGAGTCCATTTTGAGCCCATTACTCTTCATTCTTTACAAGAATAACTTTTGTCACACATCAAAATGACTAACTACAATTTTATTTGCCGATGATACCACCGTATTTTACTCACATGCAAATGTGTCTGTATTATGTAACACGGTTACTGACGAGTTAAAAGAAGTCTGTAATTGGTTTAAGGCAAACAAATTGTCATTAAATGCAAAAAAAAAATCAATATATGATTGGAACAGTCTGCCAGACGCAATAAAAGCAATTTCTAATTACAACACCTTTAAAATTCGAGTTAAAGAGCACCTCTTTTCATGTCTCCCCTAACTAGACAACCCTTATCATGTTAAAAATCGCTGGTGCGTGACATTTTAGCATGCCAAATTACTTTTATAAACTACATTATTATACAGTAAAAATAAGTATCTCCAAAAAATACCTTGTAAAAGAAATGATCCTCAAAGAACATAAATTTGCAAAGTATAAATAACACTTAGGTTCTTATAAGAATATATAAAGTGAATAAATGTTTTTACCTAATAAATTATAACAGTACTGTGAAAAACTGTGGCCTACATTATTATTCACTTTTGTGGTATTCTTTGGAACATTTCAGTATTATAGATTTCTAACCTTATTGCTCCAACAGCCAATGTGTGGACCAATGTTTATCGTAACTGACACGACGATTGAGTAGTATTAAAGTGTGAGGCAGCGAGGCATGCGAGACAAAACGACGATTCATGCGAGGCATCGTTTTGCCATTGCCAAAAGTGCGAGGTATAACAACGATTCATGCGGGCATCGTTTTACATCGAAATATGTGCAGAGAACAACGAAAATCCAATGTTAAAGTAATATTATGTACTATTTAATAATTATGCGTGATAGTCATTGTCAAATTTGCTACTTAATTTGATTTGCTACCACAGTGGATTTATTTTTCTCCGCCTAGGCCTAGGCTATATAGTCAGTAACATCGCTGATCACAGGGGCGGATCCAGGATCTGCTGCATTATTTTTTATCCCCATACAATTAGGGCAGAAATTATAGAGGGCGCTATTTAAGGTCAGTTTAGTGATCGTATTATCGTAGTAGAGAAATAATTACAGCAAGCAAGACCTAAATTAATAATTACCAATTAAATTAAAGTTTTGTTGGCCTACTGAAAAATACAATACAATGTAGCTATTTATGCCTCGTGCATCCCTCGTAGCGCAAATCAATAGGCCTACTACTACTATTGCACAACAAAGTATGATATTTGGTTTTTTAGCATCCACTATTCTTGTACATAAAGTTTTTTAGCATCCACTATTCTTGTACATAAATCTTCAATTTCCAACGTACGCTTATAATAGCAACTCGGACGTTGTTACCGGTGGTCTTTACAAACACCGAACGTCGAACTTAGGTCATGTTTATGCATATTCATATTTAACAGCTCACTAGTAAGTAACTTTAAGTAAGTAACTTTATTGCTTCTCTTTTATAACAGAGGCACAGCCGTAATGATGTGCAACAATAACAAAATCAGTAAAAACTTAATTACTGTGATAAAATATAGTAAGAAAATACTGCGGTAGAACGAAATATAAATAACAAAAAGGGTTTACAAAAATAGTAATAGAGATAAAAATAAATACTAATACTAATAATATAAGTAAGTTGGTTAATACATCACTTATACACACATACATATACACATACACACAAACATATATATACACATATACATATATATATATATACAGTATACATATACATATATATATATATATGTGTGTATACACACACACACATGCTTACATATACATACATACATACATACACACACAATACATACATGCATAGACGCACACACATACACACACCCCTCCCACACACATATTCACACATACATACATACATATACACATACATACACAAACACATACATATACATATAATAGAGTAAATATTGTAAATTTAATTCAGTAACATTAAAACCAGACATATTAGTCTTGCAATAGAAAAGTATTATATATATCATTTCGTTCTTTCCATGCCATCGTTAAAAGTAATTTACAATGATTATCGAAAACTTTACTCGCAATAGTATAATTAATAGTGTTTATACAATTTGTTGTTAAAATTTGATATTCGTAATGGATTTCTAAATCATCAAACAAAAGATGGTATTTAAGTTCAGGGAAGCTTGATATGAATAATTCCCAAAATATATGTAAATCCTTTTTGTATAACTCCTCTTTAGGTTGGTCAAATATTAAAGTTCTAATGTTCTTTAATCTGGTACAATCAAATACAAAATGATTGATGGTTTCCTTTGTCACGCAGTCACATAATAAGCATAAGCCTAAATTTTTAGGTGACCAGGATTCCTTTCTTCCTTCAAGAGGTAGTGAGTTAGAACGAGCTTTAAATTTTAAACTTGAAGCATGAAAGTTACACTTTTCTAATAAATACTTTTCCATTTTAGGTTCACTAAACTGACCTTAAATAGCGCCCTCTATAATTTCTGCCCTAATTGTATGGGAATGCAGCAGATCCTGGATCCCCCCTGTGATCAGCGATGTTACTGACTATATCCTAAGCCTAGGCCTAGGCGGAGAAAAATAAATCCACTGTGGTTGCAAATCAAATTAAGTAGCAAATTTGACAATGACTATCACGCATAATTATTAAATAGTACGTAATATTACTTTTACATTGGATTTTCCTTGTTCTCTGCACATATTTCGATGTAAAACGATGCCTCGCATGAATCGTTGTTATGCCTCGCACTTTTGGGAATGGTAAAACGATGCCTCGCATGAATCGTCGTTTTGCCTCGCTGCCTCGCACTTTAGTACTACCCACGACGATCAATCCAAAAAATTAAAACTAACGCAATAAATGCTTTTTGTTTCTTCAATAGTTGTATCATATAATGATAATAGTCGACTATGGTTCAGAATTAACTGTTCCTAATAACGTAGCTGCATACCTAATTGTTTCTTGTAATAATTCGTTATCCAAAAAATATTGAAAAATTTCTGAAATCGAAGACTCTCCATCATGGATGAGAGGTCCAGCTTGCTCAGCTCTG